GTCAACAACCAACCTGAAGTTCTCTGGACTTTTTGACGGTTCTTCAGTTGCCCTGCAAACAGAAAGTTAATAAAGTTTTTCCTTTGTTGACTGATTTAAAATGACGACAGAATGTGAGGATTGTGTGAATAAAATGAAAGAATATAACGTGTTTCTGTAAATAAAAGCAGCTCTGATGTAGTTTTAGTTTGGTTTAATATATTCAGAACAGTTGCCATAGAAAGCCTGGAAAGATAAACAGGATTTGTACAGTTGGTAATATTAATATAAAGATTATCTGTTCAATAAAACATAAAATGATTCAAAGTATTTTATGTAAATAAAAGCAGCTCTGCTGTAATTTATTTTGAAAGGAAACAGGAAGAGGAAGTGGGAGGACATGGAAGTGAAACCTGAGCCTCTGCAGGCTCCTGTGGATGTTCAGAACAGCTGATCAGGTTTGTTGTTCTGAGGTAACAAACTGGACCCAGCAAACAAGAARCAGAACTTAGAACAGATGCTGTTTCCCAGAGGCAACATGTCCTGTTGTGGGTTTCATTCTGCTGGATTCAATAAAGTTCATTTGTTCAGTCAGAACCTGTGAAAACAAGTCAGTGTCCTGCCACCTGGTGGACGAGACCTGGAACAGTCACRGATCTGTACTCGTACATTACAACCACTAGAGGGCAGCAGCAGACACTTAGTTCTGTTCAGGTTAGGATTCTTGTTCATTTTCAACTCAACACATAATAATCCAGACCAGATGTGCTTCAAGCTGGGATCCAAACCCCACTATGGTTTTGTGTGTGTCTAACATAAAAACATAGATGCTGCAGACACAAAACAGCCTTCTGAAACAAGACCTTCATAGACGAGGACAGAAAACTGGGCTTTGTTGGAGAGAGAGGTGATGTGTTACACAAGTGAGAAATCTGCAGAACTATAACAACACATACTGTTAGACAGAAACACATATGTTCAAATAGAACCACAACTGTTTATACAGAAACACATACAGGTGTTAGACAATGGAAGTGAAACAGCTGGTTTTAGACCTGAACATCTCTTTCAGACAGCTTCCTGTTGCGTCCACAGTTAATCCTGTTGGATGTGGTTGGTCCTTCTTGGTGGTATGCTGACATTACCCTGGATACTGTGGCTCRTGATACATCACAAAGTCTTGCTGTCTTGGTCACAGATGCTCCAGCAAGACGTGCACCAACAATTTGTCCTCTTTTGAACTCTGGAATGTCACCATAATGACAGGAGACTCTGACAGATGTTCCCAGGAGACCCTCACTATATGTTTGGGTCTGCCAGGTCTGACCATCATCCTCCCCACCATCGGAGCCAACTCACCACCAGGTAGTGGTCAGTTGACAGCTCCGCCCCTCTCTTCACCTGAGTGTCCAAAACATGCAGCCACAGATCAGATGAAACAACAACAAAGTCGATCATCAAACTGCAGCCTAGGATGTCCTGGTGCCAAGAGCACATCTGGACACCTTTATGTTTGAACATGGTGTTTGTTATGGACAATCCATGATGAGCATAGAAGTCCAATAACAAAACACCGCTCAGGTTCAGATCAGGAGGGCGTTGCTCCCAACCACACCTCTCCAGGTCTCACTGTCATTAACCCACATGAGCGTTGAAGTCCCCCAGCAGAACGAGGGAGTCCCTGTTAGGAGCGCTCTCCAGCACCTCCTCCAAGGACTCCAGAAAGGGTGGTAATCTGAACTGTTGTTAGGCTCATAGGCACAAACAACAGTCAGGACCCGTCCCCCCACCCGTAGGTGGAGGGAGGCTACCCAACCTACCTAATTTCCCTCTGGGATCAATAAAGTATTTTTGAATTTGAATTGAATTGTTCACCGGGGTGAACCCCAACGTACAGGGACTGAGATGGGGGGCAATAAGTTTGCCCACTCCTGCTCAGTGCCTCTCAGCATGGGCAGCTCCAGAGTGGTTACATCAGGTCCCATCAGGTTACATCAGGTCCCATCAGGTACCTTCAGGATATATCAGGTTCCATCAGGTCCCATCAGATCCCATCAGGTCCCATCAGGTCCCATCAGGTTACATCAGGTCCCATCAGGACTCAGCACTTTGTATTTGTAGGTTTTGAGTTATATGTCTGTCTTACATGATCTCCTCTGTGTTCAGCTCCACAGTCTTTGTCTTCCTCAGTGTCTACCTGTTCTTCTGACTCCTCCCCTTCCTGCTCATTTCCRTCAGGTGTGTGTCCCTTCAGTTTTCAGCTTCTCTTAATATTCAGTGTCTCCTCCAATTGTGTTTTCAGCCAGTCTAGTCTGGTGTGGTCTAGACCTGGTTCCTGTAGGTTTGGTAATCTGTCAGCACTTTGTTTTGAAATAAAGAACCACAGTCAGTTCCTTTTTGATCCACAGCTTTAGTCTGCACCAAGCTGACAGTTTTCTGTGACCAAAGTACAGCTGTCAGAACATGGAGCATGTATGGAGCATGTATGGAACATGTATGGAACACGTATGGAACATGTATGGAACATGAATGAAACATGGAACATGTATGGAACATGGAACATGAATGGAACATGTATGGAACATGGAACATGGATGGAACATGTATGGAACATGGAACATGGATGGAACATGTAACATGGAACATGTATGGAACATGGAACATGTATAGAACATGTATGGAACATGGAACATGTATGGAACATGTATGGAACATGTATGGAACATGAATGAAACATGGAACATGTATGGAACATGGAACATGAATGGAACATGTATGGAACATGGAACATGGATGGAACATGTATGGAACATGGAACATG